GAGCGCCCGTTTGGAAAGGCGCCCTGTTAATCGCTTCATCCTGTGCTTATTGACAAAGGGACATGAGCTTTTCTTGACAAATCCAGGAATTCCTTACAGTGACTGTTGCACTCAATCTTGGTATTTCAACTTCTTTCACGAACCTTGTGTTTGGAAAGTGCTGCTTTCCGTTGTGCCGTTAACTACTAAACCTGCAGTCTTTCTCCCCGTTCTGACAGAATTTGGAATTGAGATTGCAACTCCAGGGGTTCAGCAGGTCTGTCATCTCGCTTAGATAGTCTCCAAGAGTGGCCGATTCGGCTTGTTCTTAGCATTTTCATGCCAAATTATTTTTATTTTATCAGTTTGCTCATATGAAAGCTGTGTATTTCATTAAAGCTCATAAATGGAGTCAATGGTAAAATTTAAGTTGCTTGTATTAGCAAACACAGGTTTTCCTAGTGCACAACCATGAGACGATGCCTTCCTGGCCGGAAGAATTTGCACCTTTTCAGGAAATGCAAATGTTCCTTGGAAATGCCTGTGTTTTCCTGTGAAATGCTCGAGATGAGGAACTGGAAGGAGGTTCCCTCACACAGTCAGATGTTCAGAGCGGGAAGCAGTGCCATCAGCAGCTGCTCTGTCTTCAAGCACAGTAAATGCTCAGGGATCATCAGCTGCAAATTGTCCTCAGCAGATCATCTCCAGGTTGCCAGTGACGGGGTTTTGTGTCTTCTGCACTGCTTGTTGTGGTGGGTGAAGCAGTTTTTGTTGCTGGCAGCCCACATCAGAGCCATTGGTGGAGCAGGGGTACAGAGCAGCTGTGTGAGGACTTCTGGGGTCCCGCAGGGCTCCACGGGTGCTGTCTGGCAGAGATTTAAAAAGTGTGCTGTGGAGAAATAAATTCTGTGCCCATTTTTGAATACGTGGGTTAGTGTGAAGGGGACTGTGTGATCTCTGAGTGAACCAAATGGGTGCAGGAAGGAGGATGTGGTCAAAGATTGGCGTCTGTGGCACTGCTGCTGGATTTCTGACCTTGGTCTTTTGCAGATACGTCTTTCCCAATACCTGAGCTCTTAAGAGACCATTAGGATTCAAACACTGTTCTTTTCCTGTTGCTGCTGCTGTTGTCTGAGTTTGGAAACTTTGGAATATGCTTCCAAGTTACAAGAGAGCCCCTTGCCTGGGTCAGGAGAGTTGGTTCTGGACTGACATTTTGATCTGTCAAGAGTCTAATTTTCAAACAAAAAAATCCATGTGTAGTCCTTTTTTTTTTTTTTTTTTTTTTTTTCTCTCTTGAGCAACCAATAAGTCCAACTTCATTATGAGACAAAGGATGGTGTGAGCTTTCAACACGCAGTGGTTGGATAGTCTTTATCCAAAAGAAACAGTATTACACTTTGCCAGTATAAAACCCATTCCCGCCAAGGAGACGTTAAACAAAAGCACTCGTTTCGGGGGGCAGGGGGAAGGTTGAAGCTGCCAGCTGTGATCAGATGACAGATATTTTTGTTAGGAAATAATACCTTTCTCTGATTTCCTGAGAGGTTGAATGTGAAGCATAAAACAAGGGACAGTGATGAAATCCAGAAGAATTACCTCTGTGTATTCTGCTGGAAGAGAGTAAACAAGTACCTATGTGGCGGGCAGGTACACCAGGCGCTGTTTGGACAGCTGCTCTGCCCACGGAACGGGGCCGCTTGGTAGCGGCTTGGTGGTGATAATGCTCGTTTCGTATAAGGGCCATATAAAACCGTACTTCTCTATAGAGAGAGCTGCGTTAATAAACCCTACAAAGCAGAGAAGTTGGATTTTTCTGATGCATACCAACTACTAATGTAAAACATGCTCCAGTGAGAATTCCTTGAAAAACTGCATTTACTGCTGCAATAATAGTAAAAGGTCACCTTGGATCACATTTGCAAAAGGTCAGACGCTGGTGGAGATAACAGCCTGTGCACACAGAGCAGAAGTTGATGGGTTCACTGTAGTTCCATCTGCAGCTGAAAACCAGTCAGGGTTAGACATGGACAAAAGTGTTTTCCATTTCGACTGATTCTGTGGTGGCAGAGGGATTATTCACATGGTGAGGAATGCCTCTGGGCCTGGTGAACACTGTCAGAAGAGGCAGGAGTATTTTTAAATGCACCACTGTGCTGAGCTCCTCTTGTATTTATTTGTTCTTGAGATGCGCTGGGTGAATGCACGTCTGCAAGTGCTTGGGCCAGCACGGTTTCACCGAACGGCTTGTTTAATGTCGCATGGCACAAGGTATATAGTGCCAAACGCATGCACGCACGCTTTCCAGCCTGACGCCCCTAGTATAAATCTTGTAGGCACAGGGAATTGTTATCCTGTTTGCTGGGAGGCTCTCAGTGCGAAGTGGTTGGGGTTCAGCTGTTCTCTGCAGTGGATTCTGCATTCTCTGAAGTCAGTTCTGCAGGAATTTGTGAAACACCCCACTCACAAGTTGCTGCTCTCTCCTCCAGCCACCCCGGAGCCCCACCAAGAGCTGACAAACCTCAAACACAAGGACAAAGAAGCCTGTACTGAATATTGCCTCTCCAGCTGTCCTCAACCAGATGTGCTGACAATGTTGCAAGCTTATTCTCAATATTGCCGCTTTTTGCTTTAAAGAAAATATATTCCCGGAGAGGTCCCCACAATTGCAGTGGTCCCGGGAGGAATTAGTGTTTCTGCACACATAAGCCATCTCTCCGTCAGGCCCAGCAGAGGCAGTGAGGAGAGGGGTCACGGGACTGAGGATCCCATCTCAGAAACTCTAAGTCATCTTCATCTTCACCATCTCGCAGTCCAGCCTCTCTGGTTCTTATATAAATTATATGTGATCTGCTCCAGGGTAGTTCAGGGAAAGTTAATTCGGTTGTGATGGATTTAGGTTGTTTAGAATGATTCTGCTGGTGATATTTATTTGTGACAGGGCATGGTCCAGAGATGCCCAGTGAAGTTTGTAATGCTTGTCCCTGTGCAGAGAGTAAACAAAGGTCTTCGCCTAATGACCCCGTGAGTGACACCCGGGGCCGCCCCGTGACACCCCGGGGCCGCCCCGGCACCCCCGGCCGGCGGGCGCGGACCCGGCGCGGCCTCGGCTTCACTCGACGGCGCTCGGAGGGACCGGGGCTGGGGGCGGCTGTCAGCGCGCGGGATCCTCGGAAGGGTTAACGCGGGATCTTTTTAATTGTCAAAAGAGTTTCAGGCTATTAGTGTTGGCATATTCTTCAATAATCTGTTTTATTTTTACCTGCTGGGAGCTTAATTAAAAAACAAAGAGGCTCAATTTAAAGCCCATTACTATGCTAATTTTGTAAGAACTGGGCGGTGATTAAGAAGCTTTAAAAAGAGGAGTTTAGTTTGCTCTAGGGAATGGGTTGGAGGCAGGTTTTATTTCGTTTCATTAGCTAGCTACAATTATTTATAAACTAAATGGAAATGATATTAAAGAGTAATGAAAAAAACAGCATCTATGTATTATTGAACAGCAGAACTTTTTTTAATTTAGCATCGAAGTGTGCAGAGCCTTTATTACTGCAACTTGCAGTTAACGCAGCTAAATGCAGTTGTTAAATATAAGAGGCTTTTAAAATATGCCCATAAATACAGAGCTGTCTGGTTTGCTTTTCCTATAGATCACTGGAGCAAGTTTATAAAGATATCAACGTGACAATAAAGATGAACTACTGTCTCTTTTAAAAAAGATTTTATGAGGTCTTATGCAGGAAAATTTCTTAACAGAATAAATTGCAAAGTCTTGTTTTTTTATACTATATATGTACTGTTGTACGGATCTAACAGCACCACAAACTTTCTACGGCCTTCTGCCTGTCACGCAAGCCCACAATGATAGGTGCAATTCCAGCAGCGTGCGGAGCGCCCGGGAGGCGCGTTCCCATCCGAGGATGAGGATGGACGCTCAGAAGCTGAGCACTGGGCAGGTGCCTGCGCAGCAGAGGCTGGAGACGTTTCTCTGGGTGCGGTTGGTGAAAGAGCCGGGGCTGGCACCAGCAGGACAGGCTGGCTCCCAGTTTGGCCCAGTGAGTGGGCAGTGGGAGGATGGTGCTCTGGGGACAGGGCCCCAAGCCTGGGCAGGGATTTTGAACGGAATCCCCAAACCAAGGGATCTGTTTTGTGGTGTCTGGGAGGATGTGGGCAGGAAGATGTGCCCTGTGTCTGCCAGAGCAACTGGTAAAACTGGTGCGTATCTTCCCAGCCATGGGAGGAGGAGGAGGTGCTGGGCCTGTGCCTGGAGGAGCGGCATCTCTGGTGGCACCAGGGCCTTCTGCAGAGATAACACTTTCCTGTGAAGCATGTAGCTATTCCAGTTGATGTGGCACCAAGGGTTAGCCTGGCCCACCCTGTAGCTTTGTTAGCTTAGCGTCTGAGCTTGCACGCCGCCACCGCTCCGGTCTCCTGAGGGAGCGTAAGCTGCCCGACCCTCGGAGCGGGGCTCCGTGCAGCACCTGCTCCGGGAAGGGCCCTGCTGGGCCGCGGTGGGGGCCGGGAGGGAGCCTGGCCAACTGCCAGACGCGGGCGTCCGCCAGGCAGAGGGTCCGGTGCGGGGGAAAGGTGGCCGGAGCCCACCCCCCGGGCTGCCCGGAGGGGCCGCGCCAGTCCGGCTGCGGCGCGGAGCTGGGGGCAGGGGTGGCCGAGGGTGGCCGAGCTTCCCCAGAGCGTCTTCGCTCCTGCGAGGGAACATCCACGTCTGCGCGCAGGGGCTTCAGAAAGCCCGTGTTCTCTCCAGCGCGCCCAGGCTCCGCTTGCCTTCCCCCTGCAGGAGACGGCGGCGGAGCTCAGGGCTGGCTTGGGGCCTCGTTTCTTGGCTACGGGAGCCACGTCCCGGCAGCGAGGCCGGTGTGTGGGCCGGGGGCTGGTGTCGTCCGGCCGCGCAGGCTGCAGGAGTTCACGTGCCCCTGCAGGGAGGGGTTGTGTGAGCGCTGCCAGGCTGGGGCAGCCGCGCAGGACAGGCAGGGCTGCGCAAGGACCTGGGAGAGCTGCAGGGACAGAACTGGGGCACCACCTGCCTGAGCACGGCCTGTCCCAGCTTTGCCCCGCAGAGCGGAGCCGCAGCCCCGTGCCAGGTGAGCGGGATCTGTCCGTGCTCCAGAGCTCCCCCAGGTCTGGAGTCCACAGGAGATCAACCCCCGGGGCTGTGGGTGCCTGCGACCCCTCCCCAGGTGGCACCACGGTCAGTGATGCCATCTCATGCCCCTCCTTAGCCACACCTGCACTTTTCTTCGGGCCTTTATTCACTGCTGGGACGGGATGTGCTTCTCCTGTGTGGAACCTTGCTGGGGAGGTTGAGCCCAGAATGGGACAAGGGTTTCCAGGTGGTTTCAGCCTCGGACTGAGAATGGGGAGGCAGAGAACTGCCTCCTTCTGCTTAACTGTGGTAACGGGGTCCTTTGGGAGCATAAGAGGGAGTTGGCCATGAAGGAGGCCTCAGGTTCGGGCTCAGTGCTGGGTCCCACATGCAGCGTGCAGCTCAGCCGGTGGGGGTTCACCCAGGACAGGGGCCGTGGGCTCACCCCGGCCTGCCTGGGGGCTGCGGGCGCCACGTCCCCTCTCCGGCGCAGGCTGCCACCGTGGGCTCTGCCCCTTCCCCCGGTACCTCTTTACTGCCCTCTCAATCAGCCTTTTAAAATTGTGTCCGGGAAGGGTGTGAATGGAGACGGTGTGAGCTGCGCTGTAGGAATGTGTAAGATGCGGAGGCTTTTCCCCCACTTGTGCTGAACTTTGCAGCTGAGAAATCAGGGGCTGATCAGCAACTGACCCATTTCACCTCTCAAACCGTGACCATTCCTCTCTTAAATTTACATTTCCAGGGCCAGCGTATTTTCTTTGTGTTTAGAAAGTGTTTAGTAGGTACTACTGTCCAGATGAAGACATTACAGTGTAATGTGAGCGATCAGGGACAGGTGGGAACCCCACACCACTTGTGTGTGTGTTTGCATGAGACCTGACCTAACTCATGACAGCAGCGACCGGGCTCGGCTGCTCCAGGAAGCAGAAGCGCTGGCCCTGTCGGAGCGAACCGTATGACAAAAAAGGGACCATCCTGCTTTCTTCTGCTGACTGTGAACCCCTTCCATGTCCACGTGCCAGAGCAACGATTTTCCAGACAGAATCTGTGAGTTCCCTGAGGCTCTTGTCCTGAGGTTTGGGCTTTTTGCTGGTGTGTTTCTGACTACAAGAGGATTTCTAACTGTGGAGACATATTTTGTGACAGAGCTATTGCTGTTGGTTCTCAAACTGACTTTTAATTAGATTTTTGATCTTCCTGCCATTTCATCTTTAATTCTATAACAACTTTATACTTCTCACACCAAAATGGTTGGTGGGGCATCTCTAACTTAAATATTTGTTGCAGGCAGTGACTCTTGATGAAAGGAATAAGGGTCAGTACGAGAATTAAAACCACTGAGAGGGCCCTGCATATCTGTGACTCAAACATCCATAGAAACCAGCAGGACGTCTGCTGTCAGTCTTCGGTGTGGAGGCTGAGTTTGCCATCAGGTACAGCACTCTGGAGCAGTTCAGGGTCTGTCAAACCACAGTTCACCGTGTTGCACCCACAGCCACACCGGGGAGAAAAGCCAAACACTGCGAGTCCTGTGGGTAGACGCGGGGCTGAGCCTGGCCACAGAGCTGCCTCCTGAGATAAAAGTCATACAGCAGAGTAGCTTAAAATCCTCTTTTGGTTCTAAAGGCAAACCGGGCTATCCCCCTGAGGTCTTAAATGTCCCTTGGCCTTCTTTTGACCCTGTATACACCTTACATTCTTCCTTTAATGATTGACACTCAGTGGGTATGCGCCTTCGGGCGTACTGGAGTTGTAGCTGCTGCTTCATCAAAGCAACTGTTTACAGCTGGTTTGAGTTGGATGCCAATAAACAGTATTCTTTTTGTTTCAAAATAAAAAGCAGCTTAAGTCCCTAATGATAAGGATTTTGTGCTTTGTAGAGGAAAAATTCAGCTAGGTTGGGACAGCCAGCCGCTCAGCTTAGCAAGTCAGAGTACTTTATACTTCCAGCTAAACCGCTTTTATCTCCTCAAGTGAGTGGGCTATAGATTCTTATCATTGTGGCAGAAGTGATGAGGGTAACATCTTTAGTTGGAAATCATTGGCAACATGTGGAGAAAGCTTAAGATGTTGTCACACTTTAACTTGGTCCTAATCTGTTCAAAGGCAGTTCATACTTTCTAACTGCGCCAGCAGGTAGTGAGAGGGAGTCAAAGACCATCAGGGTAAAATAGCTCATGCTTTTCTTTGGAGAGTTTATGACTTTCATAAAGCGGGGACAAAGAAACTGCAGCAGTAACTGTTATTGTCTAAATGAAGAGCTTATGTTCACCCAACCATATTTCATTAACTTGTACACCCAAGCTTCTACATTTCCTGCCTGCTTGGTGCAGTGCTAGAAGCAAATCTTAAATATTTTAATGCCTATTGTCAGTAAAATGAGAACAAGAGAAATGTGCAGCTCAGGCCTGGCCCTGACGGGCCCATCTGACGGGCCCATGGCCACGGCAGGTGGCCCGGACGAGCGCGCGCCGCGGTGTCACCTGCGGCGGCCACGAATTTCCAGTGCAGGCTCTTCTGTGAATTGTGACACGTGCTCAAGTGAGATCCAAAAAAGGAACCATTTTCCTTGCAACAGCAAATTGAGACGCTGCTAACAACGCTCCCATGTCCAAGCTGGCGGTTCCGCGAGGGAGGAGTAGAAAACAGATTTAGGACCAAACTCTCAGGGCATTGAGCGGTTTTAAATTCTTCTTACCTGTGACTGGGGACCCAGTCCTGTCCCCGATGGTGTCAAAGGAGTTCTTCATTTCACTCACTCGAAGCAAAAGCTGACAACGCTTCTACTTAATTTATTTTTAGCAAATGGTCTTAAGATCCTCAGAATTACTGGTGAGCAAACTTAATTCTATTTCAGCAAATATTGTGGGGAAAAAAAAAAAAAAAAAAAAAGTGCTTTGTCAACTTTGTAGAAAGGACAGCACAGTCGGAGCGGGAGTTTTTTTCAGCCAGATATTCAAGAAAACATCTAATTTTTGGAAATTTATGGAACCCTCAGGAATACCGTAGGATATTTCTGTGCTTTTACAGAACAACTCCAAGCTGTACAGATTTTCTCGCCAAATGAAAGCAGTGCTGTATGGATATGATGGGGGGGATTTCGTACACTTTCTAACAAGCATCTCTGGTTTTTCTCCGTATGCGTGTGTACATGTATGTGTATAACATACATACACATAACTGAAAGTATTATTTTCTAGCTTTGATCTACTTACAAGTTTTCATTTAATTAAAAAAAATTTCTGAAAAAGTTAATATAATGTTTAGAGAAACCTTTCAGTCTTGTGAGCTTAAGGGAATAATCCTCTTTGCATGCCTAATAATGTTGTTGGTGTCTAATGGGATTTCATTTTCACACATGTGGAAGTGTCCTGTGTGATATATGTTGAATATATCTGCTGGAATAACTTAAAACCTGTGCTAATGTTCCAGGCAAAAGGAGGCTCTGGACACGCTACAGGGCCTTGCTTACTGATAAATGTTTTTGAATGGGTTCAGAGAGTCTGGTTTAGCAAAGCCCGAATACAAACACAGATGCTGATAGCCGAGTCTTTAGGACTCTATCAACCATATTCGGCCTTACAGAAGCTGGGAGGTTTTGGTACTTCCATGTTAATCTAAAATTAAGTTTGTAGGGCAACTGTGGTAATCATCCATACCAGAATAACAAGGCTAGTCTGTTCATTGACTTAGAAATGATTAATCAGATGTCTGTTCATTAAAGTAAAAAAGATGAATCAGATGTTTGGAGTCTTCAAAAAAGCCTGTATTAAGAGAGCTTTTGATTTGCCATCATATTATTAATTGACATGTTGTTAATAAGAGTGACTCCACATTACAAGAATAAATTATCATTCCTAGACGTTGCAGGACACACCTTTAGTTGCCTGAGTTTTGGGGGTTTGGTTTGGGTTTTTTACTGTTCCTTCTCCTTTTTTGGTGGTCCTTTTTACAGTTTCTCCCAAAGCTCTGTGCTTCTGTTCAGGCTGTTCTATCTTATCAGAAGAACAAAGTTTGTGGAAGAAGGACAGTGAAGAGAAACTATGTGAGATGATTGGGGGAAAAAAATTTCATCCATCAAAGGTCAGGCTAATAGAGCATGATTTAGAGCAGAATATAGCGGGGACTTTTGTAAGACAAGCAGCAACTTTTCATGCTCAGATGGGGATTCTTGGGTTAAATTGCTATCTTTGAGTTCTGAACTTGGAAAGGTATTAAAGTGGAATTAAACCTTTACACAATCCGGCTCTTGTGTCATTCAGGATTTTTTTGGGTTCTGTTTAATTGTACATCACAGCAGGGTTCTGAGTGACTGGTGCTCTAAAGAAATGAGGGGTAGGGTTAAGTCTGCAGCCCACTGCTCTCTGCTAATCCTTCTAGTTCCTTGAAGAAGGATTTACTTTTGCTGCCAGCTTGTGAAAGACTTTCCTCCTCCCGAAGAGATTGTTGTGGCTTTCCTGGGGAGGTGTGGTTGCTATAGCAGGGAGTCACGCCTGGGTATTCTCTCAAACCCTACTGAGAATGGGCCAAAAAAGAGCCGAAGAAGAGTAAAACTGGGGATTAAAAAATGGAACAATGGGAGACAGGAAGATAGGAGTGGGAACAAATGGGAATTACAGCACCAAAAATAATGCAAAGTGACAAAAAGAGGAAATAGAAAAATAATAGCTGACAGTTGGACTGAAAAGACAAACACTACAAAAGAACAATTTATTTTCAACGGGCAAAGAAAATAAAAGGGCATCTGGGAAATAAGACACAGGCCTGTGTTGAGGGCTTTTTTGCTTCTTACTGTATTGCAAGTACATATGCACCAAGTATACAAAACTTTCTCCGTACCCCTTTTCAGTTCCACCTTTGCCACAATCTGTTTATTCAAAACAAAATTTCCTTGGGTTTTAAACTGTGTGTTTACTTATTTGCTGTTAAATGATATTTCTAATTGTGTCTGTTCCTAGGGACTAACTGTAGGGCAATTCTGGGCTTTTCATGTAAAAT